AACTTTATTTCTCCACTTTTAATTCATTTTCCCTCCAACCTTTACACCTTACATGGTTAGGGCTGAGCCCCATGTCAGAGCATTTTAATAAGGCACAGCTTTGTCCCGCCGTAGGTCAGATCCAGCCTAATGCCACTGCCACATAATGAGGTCACCATGTCAATAGCATATGAGATGCTACTATACTACACTAATTTCAGAAAAACTATAGTGTGTGTGTATGCATGTGTGTGTGTGGAGGGCGGCATAGCAGAACGACCAACTGACCAGTTTCTATCATATATTGGCCCCGCCATAAATATTCACACTCTCTCTCCATGCTCATCACTGTAAAGGGCAAAGTACATATTGGTGGTGAATTATATATCCATTGAAAAGGTCATCTACCTCAACACCAATCTTTTGATGAGTTATGGGACAAGATGAGTGAAGAGGATTCCTTGCATTGAGTGATTCGTTTTGCCATTGTTCATCAGATACACCTTTCGTTTTGATTTCACTAACGGCTGGGATCACGATTTTGATTTGTTTCATTATGTTAGTTTTCCTGTCTCGTAAACTCACACATACTTGCACAGAGCACACATAGTCTGCTTTTGACCCATCCTATTACTAGGAGCAGTGGGCAGCTATTGTACAGCGCACCAGTCCACACTCCATATTTGAAGTCTGTTCGGGGATTTGAACCAGCGACCCTACGGTGCAGTCCTAGCCCCTACTGACTGAGCCACTGCCGGACACATTTTATTTTTATATGAGTCTATATGGTAAATAAGTGGAGCCAACATTATGTTTGCTAAGCTTAAGTTAGCATAACAGTTTGGCTCAAGTCTTCCCCATAGCAGGCCACACTCTTTTTGAAGCTATAGGCCAGGTAGTAGGGCTGTGTATTGGCAAGAATCTGATTCATTTGTATAATGATACAGGGGTTATGATTCAATGTATTGCAGTATATTGTGATGGCTTTGAGTAATACTTTGTAATGCAATCAAAACAGTGGGATCTGTATGTATCACAGTCCTTATAATATCAAACACCGTAGCACTACTTTTGGTGTAATCTGAGCAACATTTGCCTGTATAACAAATGGGGGTTGCTTGCTGGATTGTTTAGCTTAATAAAGGAAAGGTTCTTTGTGTAACTTGCAGAAAATTACTGCTTTTAAATGACACCTGTGATCGTGAGGTGAACAGCAGTCATCATTCTGCTGCAACCAGGGGTGGACTGGCCATTGGGAATACCGGGAGTTTCCCGGTATTCCCCCCCCCCCCCGTTGACAATTGACTAGCGGTACCGAGTTACTCACACGTTATTGTGGTTTACACTGGCTGCTGTTAGCTGACTTGCTTGCTTACACAGATTTCTAGCGTGCTAATGTTAGCAAAATACTTTCTTGAGTGAAGAACGTAAACTAATTCATCCAGAGTCGATGGGTTGATCTTGCTGGTAATTGTTAAGTTTGTCTTCAAATAACTGTATCAGCTCAGTGTTACGAAGCAACCAATGCCTAAACCATGCAGCATAGTATATACATACCTATACAAAGCCATGTTAAGGAAACTTCCATCCTACATCTGCTCCCTGATCTCACGGCGAATTGTAAGTGGCTAAGGCCTGAGATCGAATGCTGTGGTTTGTGGTATGTTTTTAAAGCAAGGATAGATGCTATCCAATCGGAAACTGTTGGAACCTGTAAATGTTACTAGCTATGCAAACTGTAGTCGCTGTAAATATGCTGTATGATGTCCTTTTTGTTTTTCTGTTATGTTTATATGTATTCATGTGGAAACTACTCTCAGCAGGTCACCCTTGAAAAAGAGATCAATGATCTCAATGGGATTCACCTGCATAACTAAAGGTTTGAAATGCAATGAAATAGTTACAGCTAGCTGGCTGGAGTCTGAGCTTCTCCTCTAAACTTCGGCATAAAGTAAAAAAGTGTATTTCCCAAAATGTAAAACTACTCCTTTAATGCATTTTCTGTCTCAAAATCTTCATGAACTAAATATTCATTCAGATAAATTCATAGTAGTAACGTTTTCACAAGTTTCTAAAATGCCAAACTTTTTCAGTGTGATTCTCAAGGTGTTTCTTTGTGACCTAGCAGGTTTTACTCCGCTCTGAGAGCACTTTTTCATTCCCTGAAAAAAAAACATGAGGTGCAATGAAACTGAGAGGGCAAGATCAGCACTGAATTGGGTTAAATAATTTAGTTGATGGAAAAGATAATTAATGGGGGAAGGAGTCAATAGCCAGTGTGGACATTAAAAGTGTGCGCGCGCGTGCGTGCGTGCGTGCGTGCTTGCGTGTGTGTGTGTGTGTGTGTGTGTAAAAGGTGGGGCCCAGGTGGAGGGGAGAGGATCTCATCTAAAAGCTATGAAAGATTTAATAGTGAGAGAAGACAGGAATGACAATGTCTGTGAAGGCATGCAACACACCAAGTCCCCCAATTATATCTGGCATTTGACTGTCTGTCCTCTTTACTCTGCACTTTATGCACACCCTATACAATGAAAGAGGTTAATACTGTTTTTATGGACTTGATCCGTCACAAAACGATCTAGGATGTGTGTATTTGTAAAGTCTATAAAACCAAAGCAGTAAAGACCATCTTGTGAAGGGATTACACCGGCTAGGCCAAAGGGCCAGGGGTGTAAATGTTTGGGGTGCCAATGGCCCTTTTACCCCCTTACTATCTACCTACCCCCCACTTCAGGCTTTCTTTCCCAGACACCTCCTATGGGCAATCTCAATCTTTTTTTTCTTCTCAATTACACACATTTTGCACAGCTGTGACGCTATTGGAGTGACAAATCTGGATGACAGAGGTAAAAAAAATACCAATGGTCCCTTTACCCCCCCACTGTCTGGGCTGTTCAACGTTTAAATATTATACTGAGCATCATATTGCTTTAATCTTAGTTGTTAGTTCATTTGAGCTATTGTAAAACATTTTAGTTGAATTTGGTGGAAGTTAGACCACAGGTTAACAAACAAGTGCTAGTTTTTATCCAACCAATGTAAAGCATTGTGAACATGCTCCCGGTGTGGAGGGTTAATGGAAGACAAACAAAGTGTCCTTTCAATCTTGTAATGTAAAGAAAAAAATCCTAAATGAGTCACAAAAACATTTCTCTGCACTCATTTTGACCACATTTGACTGTTAAACCAGGATGGTCTTGGGGGCCTGCAGTAAACATGGCTGATATTGGGTAACACTGGGTTTTTGCACATATGTTTTTTTTTGTTTCACTAAAAACTGCTGAGCTGTCCCCTGTTGAATGCTTACTGGCCCTCTCACTGAATCTTAATGTTTTAAGAATTAGAGCATATCAATGAACAGCAGCCCAGCAGGATGAAGGTCTGCTCACAAGCAAATTGCTGTCTGATCATGTACCGTGTAAATTATGTGCAGAGAAAACACTGTTAGCCATCAAACACTCAGCCTACGTTGACTTGTACCAATGCAGAGCCTTCCTCTGTGGTAATCCCCAGGATGTCACTCTTCTGTTCTCCAGCACACATGTCAGATTCAGGGCTCCTCCACAAAGTCAGGGCTTAGTACTTCAAGCTTGTCACGGATCTCCAGATGGAAGCATTCAAGGCTTTTTTCCAGGCATTTGTACTTGTTTATTTATTAGTGCTAAAGTCATAGTTCCTCAGAGGACAGTAGCCAGCTGTTGCATGTTGGCTTTGTTCCACCGAGACCTGGAGGATTGTTATCCTCTGATCGCTTGGCTGTCACTCTCTCTTTGTCTCTCTCCCTTTGTGTGCAAGTTGTACAGTTAATTACAGTTTTCGTTTTTAGTGTAAAGCTGTTCTTAGTCCCACCTCTGTATTCTACTTTCATCCTGCCCTCATTTATGATTTGTCCTGGTAGTAAATCAACGACTTTGAAGAAAGCTGAGAGGGTTGATAATTATTCTTCATATAAGGGATTGGAAACAGCATGAGTGATTTCCCCTAGTTTATTTTTTAAGTAACCATCCTTTGGATACTTGTGTTGATTATTTGGCTTGTTTTGTGGAGACTTTGCTTTAGACATTAATTCTTCAACACTTTATCATGATGCTCTTGAAACTCTATTGTTTAGAAACAACTTAAAACAATTCAGAGAGGTGTTGGTTATGAAATCTGTTTGGAAGCCTAGCTGGAAGAAAATGCAGCAGCAGTAGTTTCAACAAATGCCCTTAAGCGATGTGTTTTCTGTATGTTTAAGTGACAAAGCCCTCAATGATCTGAGATATCTTGCCAGTCAGAAGGAAAGGAGAAAGTTGTGTAACAATGTTTCAGAGCCCCAAAGTCTGCAGACAGAGACGTCCATGTAGAAAGAGAGGTCCACATACTTGGACATGAGACTGCTCCGTTCTCCCTCTAATATATTCATAGTAAAAGTTGGTTTAATGTTGCCTATTCTTGACATGTTTTATTGTTACCATGCCAAACATGATACCCTGACATTAACAAATGACTATTTTAACCCAAAGTAGTATTTTTCTCCAGCTTTAAACTTAACTTAAAGTTGTTTTTGTGTCTAACTACCAAATCTTGTAAGAAGAATGACTTTTTCCAAAAATTATGAAGACTCGTACAAAAACAATCATCACTAATGATACACTATTGTGGTTGTGTCTGTATGGAGAGACTCAGCCCTTTTTCATGGATATTTTTATTTTGTAAGAATATCCATTCAGACGTCAGCTTTTACAAATCTTAGCAATAACAACTTGTTTTTTCGCCTTCACATTACCAAACCTTAGTGGTGCCAGATTAGAACATTGTCAGCTCAGAAAATGATTATCCATGCCGGATTAAGTGTTCCTGTTATTGTGTCCAATGCTGCAGGCTGCACAGAGTGACACTGAATCAAACTCTGTAGTTTGACTTTGCAAATGATTTCCCCCTCTTTTGGTTGATTAGTATCTGCAGAATCTGCAGTTTGTTTGAACATGTGGAGCTTTCTGATCACAGTAACACTTCATAAACACAAACACGCTCACCTGCCCGTTCTTCTTCAGGTCGGCCCACATGCTCGTACCGTCCCCTCCTCTCATCAGGACGTGGTAGGTGAAGTAGTAGATGCCAGGAAGGGGGCAGGTGAACTTGCCGGTGCTCGGCTCGTAGTAGTTCCCGACGTTGGTCACCACGTCATCAAACTTCAGTATTTCACTCCCTTCGTGTGGTTTTCTGAGGCCTGCGTAAAAGGCAATTTTGGGACTGTAGAAGGATTGCCCGTAGCCCCCGGGTCCAGGCCCCGGTGGACCAGGTGGGCCGGGCTTGCCAGGCTCTCCAGGGGGCCCTTTAGGACCCGGAGGACCAGGAAGTCCAGGGGTCCCTCTGAACCCCTGTTTGCCCTTGCGGTTTGCGAAGTCTGGGGGCTGAGGGGAGACGGCTGTCAGCTCTCCCTGTGGGGGGGTGAAAGTGTCACACACCATCTTGCAGCTCCCAAGCATCTCGTAATGCGTGCTCCCTCCTCCGGACCCTCCTCCCTTGGTGGTGTGCACCAATAGGGGAATGGCCACCAGCAGGACGAGGACCATCGCCACGCCGACTCCAGCCCCAATCACACGTTTCTTGCGGCTGAGCCGGGAGGCAGCCAGCGTGAGGAAGTCCTCCTCCCCCTTCGCTGGAATCGTTGTGCCGGCCAGACTGAAAGCTAAAGAAACTAGGCCTAATGGATCGATAAAGTGGAGGAGGAATTGTGGGCCAAAGAAAGACAATGGGGGGTGACTCTATGAGCAGGACAGGCAAGTCTCAGACAGGAGAAAATCAGAAGTCTGGGGAAAGGGACAAATAGGTTTTTCCATTTCTTGGTTTTCAGGAAATGTGTTTTGTATCCTTTTAGTTTCCTCTGGTTTGCAGCGTCAAAGGGTTAAAGATAGTGCATCATTTTGCAAGACAAAAATAATTTGAATATTTTAACAAAAACTGAGCATCACCGTTGGATTTTAGGCGATTGCTTTTCTTTTTCCAGCTCTGTGGATGTGGTGGCTCCAGTGAAAGCTTCCGTTTCTTAGGCAGCGAGCTGTCAGGTGGGGTCTACAGTATTCCCACTGGAGTTCATCTCACCCTCCACATATAGGGATGGGCGCTTTACTTGTCTGTCCAGGAATGGGAGGAGAAGAAAGAGGAAATAGCTAAATCTTTGCTACTTTTCTCCCCTATTCTATTTTTGTTGATTGGCCTTCACACCTCTTCTCGCTATACATACATTGTTGTTGTAGGAACCTGGGTTAGATTTATCTCAGCAGTCTATTCTTCCATTCAAAGTGCAGATTTGCTACAGGTCATAAAGAGGAAAATTGTGAGGACAGAGCAGGCCAAAATGCATTGAATGTGGAAACTTGTTTTAAAGGTAGCTTGGATGACGCTGAGTACATTTTCACTGAATCTAGAAAGAAAAGAAAAAGCAAACACAAACATATCATTATAAAAATAACTAACAAAACCAAATACATTTGCTCTTATATATTAACTTTTATCTGAAAATGTATGAATATAGAGTATCAAACTAATTCATTCATTTTTGTAAATTTTTCAATTTAAAATAATAATGGCAATAATAAATGCAAGATACAGATACATTATTCAATGTGCCATACTCATTTTATTCAATGTCATGACTGATTTAAAAAAAAAAACCTAATTTAATTAATAAAGCAAACTCAGATAGCTTAATGTTATTACAGGCCTGCATTTATTATACTCTACAAACTCGACGTTTAACAGCAACAATATGATACTCCTAATACTTATATACTTATCCCCATTTTGTTCACATTATCACTAGATTTTAAACACTCACAGGAAATAATGATTTCAGCAGCCAACTTTTAAGAAACTCATATCGGCTTACCTAGTTTCTTCTTTTTCTATCCTTCCCGGCTCTTAGCGTTTTTAATGCCGCGGGTTTAGATGGAAACGCCGCAGGAAAACTGTTCCAGGAACGGAATGAAAATCCCCTCCAACCCTGAGCGCTTTCACCGTCGCATCGGGTGAAGTTTCGTTACGGAGCAAAGTCACAAATCTCACTAAAATACTAACAATTGAACTTGATCCAGGACTCCTGCATGGTGGCCGGACGGCACCCTCCAAAGATACTGACAGCAGCTCCGAAGGAGATAGTAAAAAATGAAATATAAAGAGATACCTATGATAAAATAATTAAAAGTCGCGTCGCACTCCTTCAAATAAAATCACAAATTCTCACGAGTTACTTTGAGAGACTTTCGCCCTGCGGAAATCCCGCTGCAGAGCGACTTTATTTGCAGAGCAACAGTTCACTCACTTGTTGTATTTTCCGTCCTGCGTCTCTCTCCTCAGCATCTGCCTACTGCTCCTCTCCCTCCCTCCGTAACACACACACACACACACACACACACACACACACACACACACACACACACACACACACACACACACCCTCCCATCCTGCATGTGACCTTTTCACAAATTAAAATGACTACATCTGTTTAATAGTTTAATCAAAGTTTGTCGTTTTCACTTAAAATATGTATTTGCACCACAGTTAGACATAAAACTAAAAACTGACATGACGATAATATTTATATTTGACTGTGTGTGTTTGACATAACACCTGCAAACTGTAATAGCAATTAATGTTTTTTATTGTGTAAAATCTCTAGTTTACTTCTGAAATGTATGTTGGGATTGCCTTAGCATTTATTCATGAGGCTTAATGAGAACACCTTGTAGAAATGTATTTTAGTCTTGCTTGGCCATTAAAGGTTTTCAAGTACACATGAGTAAGATGTAGCTTCTTGTGGTGCTTTTAGGCTGAACGGCAGGTGTGAAGAGACGTGTAGTAAAACGATGTGGGCTGCAGATGTGAGACTGACGTGCAACACGCAGGATGTTGAAGTGAAAAGGATAAGGTGAAAGGAGGAGAGGGGTGTTCTCAGGGTTGTTGTCAATGTCTGTGTTTCTGTAGCTTTCAGAACTCGTTAGAGGAGATGCATCGCTACTGACATGCCCCTCCCCTCCATATCCTTCTGGCCCCTTCTTATCTTTTCTCTCTCTCTCAGACTTTATAGCATTTACAAATGAATGAATCCTCAAACAATGCTGTGTTTTTCTTATGTAATTATTTCTGGGAGTGCTTATGCCTGAAAGAGCAGAGCTTTCTGTCAGGGTTAGGGTAAGGACTGTATCAGTAACACACACCTGACATCCAAAACATATGTAGTTTGAAATGCAGTTTAATTTGTTTAAATTTGATCAAGAAATATATGTCAGGTGGCATATACACAGTCATTTAGGCAGCCCCCGGTCCTCTAGGCACAAGTGTAGTTGTATGAACTGTCAGTTCTGCTTCTCATTTATTCATCTCCCAACTTCAGGAGAGTGTAGCAAATATTGAATATGGATCAATAGATCACTCCCCAGAATGCATACTGTCAGCCGACTGAGCCCTGAGGCAGAAGCCAAGCCTCTGGTCACATTTGCATTTGGAGATAGAATACAACTACTGCTTGTCAGAAAGTGGAAAACTGTGTGGTCTCTGCATTTTTACAAAATTGGCAAAACAGGTAAAGAGGTTAAAGTCTATATTTGTGAGTATATGCTTTTAACAGTATAGGCTACTCTCTGCTTTTATCCACTGCATTCTTGGCCGTGCTTCTTTATGCGCCCTTTATGGCATGTGTGTGAGATGCTATATGCATACATATGTGCACACATACACATGTAATTTACATTTGAGCTCTGACACACTGGTGACACACTCAGAGGCCCCCTGCATTTAAATTATTATTGCCAAGAAGGGAGGACAATTTAGAGAGAATTAGGTTTTTAGAGCCCTATGAAATATTAACTAAGCCAATGAATATATCAGCTGTGAAGCAATAATGTCTGTTTCCTCTTGATATATGATATCATGTTCTTGTCTGTACTATATCATCCTCTCCTATGTTTAAGTAAAGCTCAGGTTTACAGAAATAATCAGTTGGACATTTTCTTTTTGATTTGAAGAATTTAATTTGACAAAATTATTAGCATGTTAAATCTTCTTCCTTGTCCCTTACACTGATTTCTCCTTTATGACCTTCATGTGTCTGAGCTGTGAACATTTGATTGATATACATGTAAGGGCTTCACAGCAACAACAGATCTGAAAACCAGAGGGCTACAGGGTTAAGTCTGATGGGAAATGGCTGCTGTTGTTAACACAACGGTCCACTGGCTCAACCCCATATATAAGCAAGAGCAGGAGAAAAACTGAGTCAAATGCTGTAGTACACAATAGCTGCTTATAACAGAAGGTTTTTCCCAGGTTAGTAAAACTCGGTATGTCTGAGTAATAAATTGTCATTAAAATCACAAGAGCAGCTTTAAAGTGAATCCAGTAAATTGTATTTATTGGCGTCAAGCCTTAAATCTCAACTTAAATGATAACTTTAGTATCCTTCAACGCAGAACCTATCATCTGTATTTTTGTGTCTAAATGACTCATTTTAGAAACATAAATACAATGCAAAAAATATGTACCTTTTGCCTGATGGGTCCTCTTATGATGATGCCTAACCAAGTGTCATTCCTAAATCTTTCAAATAGCATGTCTAAATATTCAACAATGACATTACAAATCTTTTAGATAACATTAAACTGCTAACACAACAAACTCTCATAATTCCCACCATTGTCTTCCAAGTCAAGTCGCATGACACAATAACAAATAGACAGGATCAAGGGAAAGGTTTTGCAGACTCCTTTCCATAATGTTGTCAGAGACTTCAAATAATAATCTGAGCTTGTCTGTGGCAAGAACAAGCACTTTAAGCACTTTATGCAAACTCACGGTGTGGAATTGGCCATTAGGATTACATACTAGCTTGTTTGCGGCTGCAGCACTCAAGCCACAAATTAATGTACCATGTAAAGCTAATAAAGTGGTGAAATTGGCACAAACCACATATATTTCACTGACTTCACATTAGTTAACAGTAACCGCACACCTAATTGATGACAAATGGTAACTGCACTCGTTTTATTTAGGTGTGGTGAAAACAGAGGAAAGGCATTTTGCTGAAGCCCTACCAGTCTCTTGAAGTTGCACAAGAGATAGCGGATAGTCAGCAATATGGGAAAAGATAGTCCTTGCAACAGGATAGCAGAAGAGAGAATACAAGAAATATATGTGCCGTGCAACGCACATTATACAGAGGGTTTTTCAATGCTTCAGCTTAATGTCGGAAAATTGTCGGAATTCATGCTGATAATTCAGAAATCATGTTATAATTAAGTCACAAATGAACATGATTACATTTTGTAAACGATTGACAGCATGTGCTTGGAAAATAGAAATGTGTGTGTTTACATATATTTACGAAGCACTGATATAGGACTATACAAGGAACCCGAAACACACACAGAAATCTAAGTATTGTTTAATTTGACTTGTTATTATATTTGTGCTGTTCTTGTGAAGGTGTTTTTGGCGACATCACTTTTGGCAAGAAATTGAAGGGTTAGCTTTTTCAAAACCTTTTTAAATGTATGTATGTATAAAACCTTGGTGGCATGATAACAGGTGGATACATTGTTGTGATCATTGAACCACAATTATGCATTATCGTAAATGTACATTCTTTAGGGTGAAATTACCTTCAGTTACAAAACAGAATTTATGGAGCTGGTTGGAGTTGTATGACTTGCTGAATCTTTTCAACACGGCAGCTTGACCTCAGCTCTCTGCAGGCCAATAGACTACTCTGTTAGTGGATTTACGGTCATTATAACAGATGTTTTGTATTGGAATGAGTTATTGCAGCTGATGCACTCTGGTTTTCAGGGCAGCGGCACAACGGTATAGATAAGACTGGACAGAGGTGATTCACCAGCAGGACACTGTTAAGAACAATCAGCAAAACCAATCAGGACATGAGCGGAGAGTCAGCATGTGATCCGAGGGGTTACCATGGTATTAACCAGCTAATTCAAGGTGGAGGTGCTATGTACACGGCAGGGCACACATACAAGCCAAGCAAGTGGCTGTGGAAAGGGCTTAACCTGACCTGCAATCTCACAGGTCAGAGAGCGAGCGCGAAGGAGAGAGTGAGAGCCAGACAAGGACGCAGAACGGAGAGGTGGCGAGGGTAATGGAAATGTTGGGGTCACAGCATCACATGGTATACAGTAACATGGGAGGGTTTAGTGTGTGTGTGAGACAACGTGCAGTGTAAAGTTAATTTTCAATTTTTCTGCATGGGTTGTCAAGACTGTCTCCTCAAGAAGTTGCTTCTTCAATTGCAACCTATGTTTAAGTTTACCTGACAAGGACCTCTTGTGGATGTGGAAGTCATTACTCCTGTGCTCCATCAGGAAAGTAAAGTGACAGTGTTATAGCTCCTCTTACCATGAAGACCCACTGCAGCTTGTCTATCAGAAATGGTGTCTCTTAACAATGTATGTGACTTTGTGGCAAGCAATGTTCTTTATTGTTATCTTGACAAGGGAAATACAAACATTTATCCACAGCAAGTGGAGAGGGTGTTCAAGCCTTTCACTTTAAGGAGAGCCTCATTTGAGACTCATATATCCCGGATGTTAAAAGGCATTTTAATTCAAACGTATAAAAGTAAAATATCGATGATACTATGGCCAATACGAAACTTATTGACAGACTTGCCAAAAGTGTCAGGTATTATCTGGTGTAGTCCACTGTTCATGTTTCCTCGTGGGTTAAAGAATAATTCACTTTGCTCTATAATCGATTTGCTAAAGTCCCCTACTCTCTCGATGCTAAGAGCAAGGTAATATCTGGGTGCAATTGAAATTCCTTTAATCAAATGAAGAAATTACATTAATTCAATTAGTCATTGTATTTGTGAGAAAGAGGAAAGAATGAAAAACATTGAGAACATCATTACAGATGAAAACCCAAGTTAGAAATGTTGTGGATTTAGTGGACTCAGACCTGAGATCTAACAG